TCTTAAGGAGGTAGTTAACCCTTATTTTAAGAAAAAAGTCGAACATTTCATAAAAACTTCTTCAAGCCCCCCTATGACCCTTATCTATTCAATTTTTATAATCCACTTTTATTTTTTGAAAAATTTGAAAATCCCGCCTAAAACGGCTAATTAATTGGGAAGAGGTCAATTATTTATGCATAGCAACCGTTTGTTTACACTTTGTTTATTTTGGTTGTCATGGGACTTTCTGCTCCGCGTTGGGTCAAAAGTCCCCTAAAAGTCGTTTCCACAGTCCTTAAAAGCCAAATTTCACAGTGTCCAGTCCAGATTTTCATTTGCAGTAACCATGATGCAGCGCGGTTGTCGAAGATTCGAAGTTGTGATTTTCTCAAAAGCGTGGTGTGGCGAATTTGGATTGTTTTTTCGAATATTTTTACTTGTTGTGCTTCATGAGATGGTCGAACATGGAAAAAGGAAATTTAGATCGGTAAGAAGAAAAAAAAGAAAAGGTTTTTGTGGCCACAATGGGGCAAACAAACGGCCAAAGCTGACAAAGAAAGCGCTAGCAGATCAAGATGGCGGCGGCGAAGGTGAAGCCAGAGACGAAAGTGACCTCAGCGAAACCAAAGATTTGCCAGTGAGAGTCAATGTTTCCGCCTCAAAACTTCAAAATTCTTCGTTTTCGAGTTTTGAAGAGCAAGAAGGTACCCTGACCCGAAAGAAGTCGATAAGCGTTGGACTCAGAGTCGCATCAGCAGATGTTGACCAAGTTGCAAGCGGGTTTAAATTGCAAGATGCCACTCTCTTGAGTGAAGGTATTGCCTCAGCTGCAATTTGCAGCTCTTGTCGCAAACCCCAGTCAACTCTCAAACTCTATCAGCGAGATTATCAGAGGGAAGGACTTGCTGAATGTCTTTTTCTGAAATGCTCAATTTGTAATCATGAGACTGACTTGAAAACAAGCAAGAAACTTGGAGGTGTGGGTGGAGGGGCACATGAAGTCAACAGGAGGTCAGTGTTGGCTTCCCAGAAACTTGGCCAGGCTGGATTAACAGATTTTTGTGCCAGGATGAATCTGCCCCCACCAGTAACCAAGAAATCTTTCAATGAACACTTGATTCAAATTGAAAAGGCTGCTGTAGAACATGCTAAAGTTCAAATGCAAGATGCTGCTAGGAGACTGTTTGGAGTTACTAAGGATCGACACCCTGATAGAATTGAAGACGAAAATGCCAAAGCAATGGCCAAGGTAGCAGTAACAGTTGATGGAACATGGCAGAAAAGGGGCCATTCCTCAAAGATCGGTGTTGTGTTTGTGATTTCAGTGGCTACTGGAGAGATTCTTGATTATGAGGTAAAGTCTCTTATTTGCCACGAGTGTCGAGCTCGTGCGAATATGGACAAAGACACCGAAGAATTTAAAGCTTGGAAAGCTGGCCATACAAATTGCCAAATTAACCATTCCACCAGCTCTGAGGAGATGGAGGCTTCTGCAGCAGTTGAAATGTTTGGTAGAAGTAAAGAAAACTACAGCCTGAAGTATACAACCTTTGTGGGTGATGGTGACAGTAGTTGTTTTGGCCGCGTGCGAGAGGCCATGGCTGCAAAATATGGAGACAAGTACACTGTAGTCAAGGAGGAGTGTGTTGGACATGTCCAAAAGAGAATGGGCACAGCTCTTCGGAAGTATAAAAAGGACATGAAGGGAAGAAAACTAGCTGACCGAAAAGGTGTTGCTGGAAAAGGGCGGCTAACAGACAAACTTATTGACCGCATTCAGAACTATTATGGCAATGCTATAAGAGAAAATTCAGGCAACCTTCAAGGAATGAGAGAGAGTATCAAGGCCATTCAGTGCCACATGATAGAGGATACGAGCATGCCTCTGGAAAAGCAGCATAGACACTGCCCAAAGGGGAAAAGCACTTGGTGTAAATTCTGGGCAGACAAGCAAAACAAGACAAACACTTACGACAACAGCAAGCGTCTACCAGAAGTTTTCATGAAAGAGTTAGATCCCATTTTTGAGAGATTGTCTGATGAATCTCTTTTGACAAGGTGCCTCCAGGGACTCACTCAAAATCAGAATGAGAGTGTTAATGCTCAGTTGTGGTCCAAGTGTTCAAAAACAACCTTTGTTGGTGTGCGAAGAGTACGAATAGCTGTTTGCGAAACTGTGGCTGTGTTTAACACTGGGCCAGCTAATAAAGCAGTCATTATGGATCTTTCTGGAGTGAATCCTGGTGCAAGCATGCTGAAAGCTTTGAGGGAACAAGACAAAAAAAGGATAAAAAGTGCAGGACAAAAAGTTTCATTGAAATATAGGAAACAAAGGAAAAATTTGCGTGCAAAGCGGAAGTCGAAAGGAGAGGAATCATACTCTTCAGGGGCCTTTGGCCTTGATTCAAAGCCTGAAACAACAGTAAAGCAAGGAAAGAAAGTTGAGTCCAGGAAAGACATTCAGGTGTTACCATCCACAAGCAGAGAGGAACATGTGGAGATCACAGTTGCAGAATCCACAAGCAGAGAGGAACATGTGGAGATCACATTCGCAGAACCTATTTTTGAAGTTGTGGCCCCTTCAAAAGAGCAGCGTATTCATGAAGAGAACTAAACTAAACTGACTTTTTTTTGCCATCCAGCCATGTACTTTGGCTGGAGAAAAACTTTTCAGTTATACTTAATGTTCTCAGTTGATAAAAACTAAAAAAGCCTCTTGACTGCCAAAATGGAAGGGAATTACGGTGAACTACATTCACAGCTCATGTCTTAAATTTTCAAAGCATTTTTCTTAAAATCTCATTTACACACTTGTGGCAGTTATATCTTTGCCATTTTTCAATGGATTTTTACCATTTTTTCACAGGATGTGTAGTTTTAGTAGTATTGTGCAATGAGTGAATTAGTTTTAGCCCTTTACGGCAGCTTAGTTGGTTGCTATGGAAACTTGCTACTTTAATCAAGTGCCACTTCGAATTGGCGACACTCAAAAACTATTTCACTCATTGCACAATTTGCATCCATATAAGTGTCCTTGTAGAGTTTCATTGCTTCATTGTATGTATTTGCTAAGATAGGTTTGCCATAAAATAGAGAGTGAACCGCAGTTTTCTGAGGTTGCCATGGCAACTGGTGGGCGTGGCACCTTATA